AATGTAAACAGATAAGGAATGAAACGCATGAATGCAAATTTAATCTTTTATAGTTTTCAGTATACATTCATTAAAGTGTCACGAATGAACTGAGGAGATTCTGTCAGTGGAAATGAGTCCAAATACGACATCATTCGGATTATTTTCAATAATATATCATTTTCATCCGCAACATTACGTATGAGTAACAATTGTCCAATTACACTCGAATTTGGACGCACTTTAATCGGGAGATTCTCTTCAATTCATTCATGACATTTTCTTTAATATATGTATATTGCAAATTGTAAAAGTTTAAATTTTCATTCGTGCATCATTCCTTATCTCATCTACGTCTGTTTACATTGTATGCCGACGGTCGGTCGCTGGCCTTGGACGTTCGGCGAGAATCCAAATCTCGCCGCGAGCCGTAGACCGTAGCTATTCCATCGTTCTTCTGACGGGCAGAATTGCATGCGGGACATGAGGTAACTGCGTTAGAAAAATGATACTGTCCGGCAACACTGTCTTCGCGTAGCAAATACACAAACACAACTTGATGGTAACGGGGAACAAAATTTATTTGTGGGTACTGCCGCTAGATGTCGTATTATCAAGCCGTCCCAAATGTCGATTGTGTTTCCGCTGGCGTCCGATTGTTTACATCCGCGCTTCGATCGATTGGAAGTTGGCCTCAAAGGAGTCTCCCCCCTTAAGCAATACATTCTACGACGCAACAAAGAGTGAAGGTCACTTCAAAGGTACTTTGATGTAGGTCATTAAATTCGTCTTTTTCATCAAGTACGACACAATACATCTTTGAAGAAATACACAATACTATTTCAGAAATAAAATGTTACCATAATGTCAATAATTAGAAAGTCCAAGAGAACAACTTCTAAGGATCAATAAAGTAGAAAGTAGAAAGTCTAAGAGTCAATAAACAATGAGTTATTACAGATAGCAGTTATCGCTGACTCACTAAGTAGGTATAGTAACTCTGACAGTGATACGTGCACAGTCTGACCGCTAATGTCAGGTCCATGCTGGTGTTCACGAACAGCTCGCAAACTGTTCATGAACAGATTGCGAATCATGTTCGCGAACAGTGTGGACACTTTCGCGATCAGCGAGCAGGTTGCAGCGAACTTGTCAGCGAACACTGTTCACTCATGGGGCCGTAAGTACATCAAAGGGCCTGTTCGCAAGCTCAGAGCGTGTATGGGCGCGTTGTAACACATTCTTGGCAAATTAACGATTACTTTGGTGTCAAGCTTCAATTTGTATTCGATCTGCGACTCGGGAGATATTGAAGAGGAAATAAATTATAATGCGATCATCCATGTTTGTGGGATGCAAGGAACGAATCGTATAAAATAAAACCTCCAAAGAATGTACGCATAGAGGAATACAGCATTAATAGTGATGTGTGTGTACAAAAGTTGATTATTAAATTTATTCAACCAGAAATACTTCTTTGGAAAAATTTTCTCTGCCAGCACCAACGCTCTCCTTTTCTTTCAACACTATTTCCTTTTATTATTCAATATGCAGCTGACGCGAGAAATGAATCTTGTTGAAATTTTTCTAAACTTTAAAATTTACGTCGTTATATACCTACATGAACAGGACCCCCCTTTTCATGTTAATAGGTTTTATAATAAAAGCAATAAAGTAATAAATTTTGTAAGAAAGTTGAAAAGGAAAAAACAATACATATTTATTTGAGAAGTCTTTCATTAGAATTGTATATAGAAATTACATTCCTCTTAATATCCTTAAGATATAGCTGAATAATGTAAATAGTGGAAACATACAATTCTGATTGCATTTATGATTGCAGGTATCCCCTAAAAAAAGAAAAGCATTATTACAATAAATGAAAATACATGTTGTTTTATTATATTTTAATAGTGATGCTATTGAATGTTTTTTTAATTTCATCAACATTTTACTGTTATATGGTACAAGCACCGACGAAGTGTAGAAGTAGACTTAACATCCAATGTAACCTATTATCCAATTACGGCCCATTTTTCTGGGGCGTCGACGCCCCCATCACCATTTTAATGTCACTACCCACTAGAGCTGTGACTTTATAAGATACCCGGGTATACAAAGATTACCCTGGTACGCGGGTATCCATGAGATATGCGAATATATGAAACAGTCGAGAATTTCGATTCGGAAGTCGATCGCAGCCGTGTAGGCATACTGCGTTACTTAGCACTCGCATTACACAGCAAAAATATAACTTACTCATTCTTATAATATAATAATATAATAATATGTATTATTAGTATACATATAGTGATACGTAACGCCGTGTACGCGGGCTGCGATTGAATAATTATAATAACATAATAATATATATACAGTGGAGTCTGTTTATAGCGACATTCAAGGGACGTAGAAATTACGTTGCTGTAAACGAATGTTGTTATAAGCAAAATTAAAATATATATAAAGTAATGTGTATGGGAACCGAACTTAGACAGCAAGTCGGATGCAATATGCGGTCTGCTGTTATAAGCGGTGTCGCAATAACCGGACTCCACTGTATTATTATATGATTATAATTATTATTTCTATTATTGTAATATTATTTTCAGTTTTTCCCAGTTTATTCCGGTCATTGCCGATATCGATCAAAAATGGTCGAAATACGATCGACTCCCGAATCGAGATTCTCGACCATCTCATTATTCGGATATCTCATGTATACCCGAGTACCCGGATATCTCACCGGTACTCGGGTAAAAGCAATAGCCCTACTACCCACCGTTCTCATAACGTAGAAGTCTCAGAAGGTGATAAGTCTACTCCTATACAGAGTGGGGCAATAACTATTACCACCTCAGAGATCTTAGAAACTATATGGTTCACAGAAATATTTGTTTAACCAAAATTGCACAGTACGAAGAGAGCCATTCGATGGCGCTGATAGTATTTTTGCAGATGCAGGTACTTTGGATGTTTCAAGGTCACCTCAATTTTTTTAAATGAATCATACAGTGGACTACATTGATCAAAGGTCACTCGATATATGTAGATAATGTCCACAGTTAAAGGGATATTTAGAAACTTTGCTTTTTTAAGAACCGTGTTTACTTTGAAATCTCACAAGCACCTTTACTTAGAATAAAACAGTATTGCCAATAAATCAGCACAAATTCAGAAACACGGATATCAAGTATAGAATATAATAAATTGTCATATTTCATAGTAAATAGTAGAGGTGTGCGGGTACCCGAAACTACGGGCTCGGTACGGGACAGCGAAATTCGGGCGGGATGGGGCGGGATCCCGATACTCCCAAGACTCAACTCGGGCTTAAGCACGAGCGGGCAGCCTGACTTCTGGACGGCTCGACAAGAAGCGGACGTCATCGATGTCAAAATACTCTATCTCCCAAGTTTTTAATACGGTATTTATCTAAACAGGTATATGGATATATTCAATATTTACAAACGATTTGATAGTAATGAAAATGTAGGTGTATGTAAATGAATAATAAATAATGAGATACAAATTATGATTTAAGAAATGACGGGAATAAAGGTGACAAGACTGACAAGCCTCTCCATATAGCTAGATCTCAGGCTCTCGAGCCGCTGACGTCCGATTCTTGTCGAGCCATCCCGAAATCAGGCTGCCCTCCCGTACTCAAGCCCGAGTTGTACGACTAATACGGGAGTATCGGAATCCCGCCTGAATCTTTTTGTCCCGTCCCGAAGCTCGGGTACCCGCGACTCGGGACGATCCGCACATCCCTAGTAAATAGCAATGTATCCAAAAATGTATAATTTATTTCAAATTGGAAAAACATAAATAAAGTATTTATAAATGCAAGATATATTAAGACAAATATCAAATAAATTAATTTTTTATATAAAACTATGTTTGAACTATAGAACCAATGGGAATAATTGAAGTTAACAAAGCTATGTTAGACATGTAGCATTCATATTATGTAAAGTGTACATTATTGTAAACACAAAATAAAATATTTATCATACATTCTAAATTGAATATTACCTTAACATTTTCTTTAATTAAAAATTTCAAATTTCAACATAATCATGTGTAATCTGTGTAATAAGAATCTTTTGGACCCAAATGTTTTAATACTTGATATAAAATTTTAAAATAAAATCTAATTTGCATGAATGTTTACTAATCTGAAATGTATATACTGAAAGCTCTGGTTATAACATATCAACGTATTGAATATTTAATTTTATTTAGGAATCTCTTATTTTTAAATATACTATGTCTTATATGTTTTATATAAAGTAACGTAAAACTTACGGTAGCTTCATCCTCATAAAAATCCAACAGGTAATAAATGACACAATAACACTGATGAATCCAACACATGTTAAAAGAATCCTATTTAGTTTTGGAGTTGATGGACCATGTGTTTGATCAAATACTATAAAGCCAATTCCACCTAAAGTAAACAGGAAACTAGATGCTAGTCCTTCCATAATATATTGACCATTTACACGATATGGCATAAATGCTACCTATAATAAAGGACGTAAATAATAGTTATAGTACTACGAAACAAATATCAAGTTTATATTTATATCTACTCTAAAAACCAAATAAGACCATAACTGCGAAATGGCGAATTTTGGTCTTGTTTGCGCATATTCCTCTCGGTTACCTTAGTTACCAACGTCTTAAACAATTGAGTATCATTATGCCTCGTGTAGCATCATACATCGAGTGACTGTGAAGTACAAACGTGCCAATTCATAAGTATTCATATCTTGAGAAATACTTCATTATGTCACCCGGTGTATGACAAATTCTATCGTCCATGTTACAGAGAGACCTCTGGTGCTCATCCCAGCTGCGCGAAGCAGTTATGGTCTTATTTGGTTTTTAGAGTAAGTAGCTATTGATTTTATTTCCACTCTGCTTACGTACAGGTCTTGTATGCCCATGTTCATCAGTTGTTGAACCTACACTGGGTGGTTCCACAATTACATCATATATAATACCTTTAACAAAATGATATTTGATAATTTTATGTACATAAACAAATTTATAAGCAAATTTATAAACTGTATAGTTCTAACCTCCTGTTACTAAGAAGTATGATAAAAGTATGAGTGAAAAAACAACCATAGCACTAGGTTTCACAAACCAGGATGGCCTTTTTAATTTTAGATTAGGCACTTCCAAAACTGCAAATGGTAACCGGTATATGTATTGCATGTTGAAAATTTTAAAATATGACGGTACACCATGCGACAACAAACTCGAACTGTTCTATACATCCACGTTTTAAATTTGTTATTTTGTACTACGTGGCAGAGTTGGGCATTGTCTCGATATATACTTATTTAAATAACCATTCGAATAAAAAAATACTTTATCTTTATTCGTTATTCGGTGGTTCAAATAATCCGAGTTGTCTTCATTTGATAAGCAATGAATAAATGTACATATGTTTCTTCTATCAATTTCTTATTATCGCCGTGCCACGAACAATGCGACGCTTTAAAGCAGGTCCACAATCCACATACGTGTAACTAGAGATGGCGTGAACTGCTACTTCTGAATCACGAGTGGTTCAATCACGTTCGTTCCCAATCACGGTGATGTTTCAGTGTTTCGTGATTTTTCGTGCTCGTTTCTGATTGGTGGAGAAATATTTCAACAGCAGTTCTTTGCACGCGTACGCATCGCAGAACAATAACATGTCATTGATGTCATGTATATTTTACATTAACGACATCAAAACAGAAACACGAGATAAATCGTATAAAGTAAAAGAGTAATGAGGAATAACAAAGAATAATGAATAAATTAATAATTATGAATTACAAGCGTAAGTTTAATTTTAAATAACTTTATACTAAATTTTACAAAATATAAATATAACCCTACCTAGTACAAAATAATATAAATACATACAAGCCTCATAAAATGATATAAATACAAAAAATTAATAAGTAATAGGTTTATGCGTAATATAATTCTATGAAATATAACTTTATAATATAAATACAATAAACAATATTTAATATAAAAGACAGCAATAATAAACTAAAATAAAATATATGAATATAATTAATAATAAAATAAAAGCTACGTATCATTATTTAAAAATAAGAGCATTGATAACTTTTCAGTTTTTAGTCTATTTCTCTTTTCATTTAAAATTAACCCAGCTTTCAAAAATATTCTTTCACGTGATACCGACGCACAGTGTAACGATCCCCGTTCAAAATGAAAAAAAAAATGTTTTTTAGGGAACTTTTTTCTATGAAAAATTGTTGGCCACATTTCTGTCCGCTATGAACATATTAAAAAACAATTAAATGTTGCAATCGTCAATAGTTACATGGAGACGGAAAACGTAGTCGAAAATAATTTCATATACATTTTCCTGTTTTATATATTCTAGTTCATTTGTAATTAAAGTTTTTGTTTATAATATCAATCAACAGTATTACAAGAATAAAATGGGTAAGTTGATTATGGAATAGTGCCTTAATTATAGAAGATATGGGTATATTTCGTAATGGATTTTTGATTAAGGTTTTCTTTAAATATGTCAAAAAATGTATTTCCAGTTTTTTTGTATAATGACTTTAAATTATGTATACTTTAATTCTATATTTTTTTTTTTGCGCAAATTAGTTTTATTTGTGTTTTTAGATACATTCACGTACAGCGAATGTTTTGAAGTCTGGCCTGTTGTGTACAAGTACGTAAAAGTTAATGTTTTGATAAATCACATTTGTACAAAGTTTTTATTGAAGGATGACTGTAAAGAATCTGTTTCCAAACTTGCTGCATGTATTCACTTAGATTTAAATAGAAGATGGGAAAAATCTTGCAGGAAATTGCAAAAATATAAAGCTACAAACCATGATATGAAATGAATAATAAATAACGGTCTTAGGGATTTATACTGGAGAGCTAAATCTTTAAAAGGAACATGTCGCTTAAACAAATTACTTCAAAATGATATTTATTTGGGAAATATGAACATCATAAATAAACGAGAGCGGTAGAGAGAGCCGCGGTATCGGTGCTGACACGTGCCGAAGAATTTCGGTGATCTATGGGGGGAGGTGTGCGAGCGAGAGTGTACGGTATAGCGTGCCGCGGTATCGGTGCTCTCCGTCGGTTCCAACGCGCTAGTAACGTTGCGTCACACGGTTCATTGACCTAGCCGTGTACGCCGTGTACCATGGCCGTACCATCTGGTGTTTGAGTCGTTCAAGCCGGCAAAAACAATTTAACTCGACAAACGTAACAAAGGAATTAGCTGTTGCGTAATATACGTACGCCCAATACATAACGGCGTTAGCTTCCTCACTTTCTCGTGAGCCGTCGCGGAGGGTGGGCTCGCGTCTTATACTCGTCCTTTCTCTTGTTACTAACCCATTGTCTGTTGCAGGTATTCGACAACCACCGTATAAAGGAACCTGTTATTTACTGTGCATATTGTTGTAGCCCTTCTCTTGTTACTAATCCCTTGTATGTTACAGATGTTCGAGAACCATTGGCTTCGATATTTATCTTCTTATGTACTGTGATTCATTTACTGTGATTTATTTACTGTGCATATTGTTGTAGCCCTTCTCTTGTTACTAATCCCTTGTATGTTACAGATGTTCGAGAACCATTGGCTTCGATATTTATCTTCTTATGTACTGTAATTCATTTACTGTGATTTATTTACTGTAATTTCTATGCTGTGATTTATTTACTGTGCATATTATGTATTTTATGTGTATTTTATAATGAAAAATATTTTTTCAATCAGTTATTCCATCGAAAGAAGACATCGATCAACGTCTACATCTTCAAAGCGTGCGTCTACCACTGCGTTAAGTTACTGTAAGTTAAACTTAAATCATAATTCGATATTCATTGTTATATTCATATTCATCATCACATCGTTTATTATTAATTTTAGTCTATCTATTAATAGACTTAAATTGTGACCATCCATTGTGCATAACAAGTTATTATTAATTCATTTTGCTCGTTGATTCTCTACACAGACTTGGGGTACGGGCAGTGGGGCTGTACACTAAGACTGTTTGCCGATCCCTCTGGTTTCTATTGAGAAGCCAGATATCGGACGTGTTTAGTCTTTGCCTGGTAAGTAGGATTTGGAGAAAGACTCGTGCGTGCAAGGGTACGGAGTAGTCGGGAGGCTGCTCCGTAAACAGAGAATCTCGCTTGCACTACCATGCTTGTGTACTCCTTTGGTTCGGGTCTGGTACGCAGGTGACCAGCCCAAAGCTCCATGGCAGTAAAAGATGGATCCGGGTTAGCGAGGTGTCGCCCGTCTTTCCTATTTTCTTAAACCAGGTTCTGGCGACAACACTTGCATCGCGATACTTGTTCATACTGTAGTTTAACGCGTAGTTCATCGTAGACTTAATAACTGCTTGGTATATAGAATATTAGGTGCGTAAACGAAATGATCGATGGAACTTTTTTCATTCCGTCTATCTCTTTCGTTTGAGTATTAACGACTACGTTGTGTTTAGTTTAAGTTATTTCGTATTAATAGCATTAATTCGTATTAATTAGAATATTACGATAATATTAGTTCTAATATGGAGAACGAAGACAACCGACGAGGGAACTTAGTTTTTTATAGGTTTAGGCTCATAAAAGAAGTCATCCGCCGAGGGATTTTAGTACAGATAGTATTACATAGTTAAGATTTAAGTTATTTATAAGGTTTATTGTGAAAGGTGGGAAGATGTAGAACTTGTGATTCCATCTACCTGCCTTGGGCCTCCACTCGCAGCTACCTCCTCGTAGTGAGGCCTGGGCAATCGGTATTATCATCGGTAAAGTACCGTAAACTGAAGACAATATCGAGCTAATGGCTGCGAACTTCGAATCTATCTCATAAAACCACGTTCTATATTAGATCGAACTACTAGGATTATTTTAGAAATCGATATGAGATTCAACGTGTAAAAATGTCCAGTACTTTGAATGTTTTACAAAATTATTTGAGATAAAGATGTATGGAACTACTGAAAATTACTTTAGATTCCTTTTCCTTATTCTGTAAATTCTTTGATTGGAATATGAATGTTGCTGGAAGTATGAACATTTTCACAGGACAATGATATAAATGGAACTTTAAAACTTTTTTAAGTGTTACAGTGATATTTCGTTATATGTTCCATAATGTCAATAATATTGATTTCCTTGCAACATCCATAATTATTACAAATGTCAATATAACGAAATATCTTTTATGCGATGTTTGTGGTGTAATAAAAATCTGTGTTTCGATTACGTTTTTGATACGTATTACTCACTTATATGTAATAATACAGAATAAAAATATACTATAGTCCGATATTTGAAAATATGCATGCGTTCGTTGTCACTGTTAAACTGTTGTAATAATAATGGAATAATAAAATAATTTACTCAAATGTATATAATAATATATATACATATCCATAAAAACAATATTAAACGCAATAACTTTTTTGTACGCGAAGAAAAACTAATATAGGTCCGTCGGAATTAGAACCCAAGACTCATTTCTAATACGTCTACTTTATAGCGAACGGACGGAAGAGAATCCGTTCACGACCATGGTCCCTTCTTAGATTTAACGTAGTTCACAAATTCACCGCTCTCATAACGTAGATGGCAGCAGAAAATCCCTGACTTTTTACACTATCGGTATTTCAGAACATGAAACACGAAGTCCCATAAGATGATAGGTCTATCCTATACCTAGTCGGTGATAATACTCAGAATTCATGCTTTATCGGTAACGTCGGGTATTGACACTAAAATGGTAAGGGGGCTTCTGACGCCCTCGAAGCATGAGACAGAAATTTACATTGCATGTTAGGTCTATTCTTATATCTCATCTGTGATATGGGATAGAGTGTTTAGATGATAACGAACATGTAGGAGATCTACCTTACTGACGCGTATCGGGATACTACATATATACACCCGCGAGCAAACTCGGCTTCCACTAGGGGAAAAAGTGGCATAAGAGAAAGGCCTCCTACCACTTGGTATTTGGAAGTACTGAAATGTATGCCAAATTAACATTCGATTTAACATTTATTTCAGTACTTGAAATAAATTTACTAAGTGGTAAAAGACTTTCCTTCTACGTTACTTTTTCCTCTAGTGGAAGCCGAGTTTGCTCGCGGGTGTACGTACACCCACGAGCAAAGTCGGCTCCCGTTGGGGGAAAAGCAGCGTAGAGAAAGCACATTCAGTTTAACATTTATTTCAGTACTCGACAAGCAACCAAATTTGCGCGTTTGAACGTTTGAGGGTAAAAGCGATGTATTTTATTGCCAGTGAACTGAGTAATAAACACAATTGGTCACCAGTCTGTCAACAGCCAGCCTGTATCGGTGATTGTTCAGTGGCGCCATCGTCGCCCATTGAACGATTGGCGAAACACTCTCCCCCACTATAGCAACAACGTCGGGAAGCCGACTCTGCTCGACTGCGC